TCTCTCTCTCTCTCTCTCTCTCTCTCTCTCTCTCTCTCTCTGTCTCTGTCTCAAAAATAAATAAACATTAAATAAAATTTTTTTCAAGGCCAAGAAATGGAACCCAAAATGCCAACCAGACCATGGGGGTACTACGGCCTTTGCTCTTTCCTACTCCTCACTGTTCCTACGGGGCCTCAGGTTCCTTCAGGGGCCAAGAAAGGCAGATTCCAATGTCCTCTGGGCTCTAATGGCTGAGGGTCCCACCCCTCCATCCACACACTCACATCTGTGTAGTTGTAGCTGCTGTTTGTAGCCAGAAATACTTTCCCAACTTCCTTCATCTTACCCAGCAGGATGGGGATTCGCACCTGGAGCAGAGGCAGAGGTCAGTCACTTCCAGGGGTGGGGTCTCCCCCAGCTGCCCTGGGATCCCTTTCTCAGCTCTCAGCCTCCCAGGCATGGGGCTCCAGGCCAAGCAGGAAAGTTTGTGAGCAAGACAAGGCCACAGAGCTCTGCCCACATCTTGAGCAGGGGAGACAGGGACACAGCTCCACTGTCATGGGGAGGAGGGGGACAAAGGGACAGGCCTGGTCATGACCCACTCACATCCTTCTCCACGTATTTGTCCAAGTCTTCCAGGGTCTTCTCCTTCAGACAGCCCTGCAGGGGGGAGCAGAGGTGTGTGTGTGTGTGTGTGTGTGTGTGTGTGTGTGTGTGTGTGCAGGTGTGCATGTGCATGCATGTGTGTGTGTGTACGGGTGTGCACACATGCATGTGCATGCAGGTATGCGTGTGCATGCATGCCCACCTGCATGCATGCGTCCAAGGTGCAGGAGCCCAGACCATAGTCCTCAGCGGGAAGGAAAGAGGAAATTCTGTGGAGGCTGGAGCCATTGGGCCACACCCAGCAGAGCCAAAGGCAGACAGGTCAAGGGTCCTGGGGTCCTGGGCACTCACCGACTGGTGGACATTATCCATGGCATCACTCACGTCCTGGAAGAGGCTTCAGAAGGACATGAAGAGGTTCCCATGCTGATAGCCAGTGTCACAGCTGGGGCAGGCCTAGAGAACAAGACAGGCTGATAAGGGGGCCTGAGGTGACCCCTCAGCCCAGATCCTATATCAGAGTCACCCCTCAAACCACACTGAACTTATGTCCCAACCATGCTGGAAGGGGTATCACCCTGTGCTGAGCATCATCCCTTGGGAGGGCACCAGTTACAAGGTGTGGGGGGCAGCCTGCAGTGAAAGACTTCCCACTGAGTTCCTAGAGCCCCTCAGGAAGGGTCTCTGCTCCTTGGCAGGGACCCCACTTCAGCACTTGGGCTCTGGGCAGTGGCAGCGTCCTGTTGGTGACCCAGGGCTGGACAGTGCACAGGACTCACTTGGTGTAGCGGGAGCAGCCAGAGAAGAAGTCCACCAGGCAGGCACACAGGTAGATTTCTGGGGTGGAGAGGCCAGTCAGTCACTGGCCCAGGGATCCAGAGCAACCCACCCAGGCCAGAGTTGTGTCCCCGAGGACCACCTCCCACACCCCCTATCCAGCCCTCACCAGGCAGGTTGGAGAGCGTGTTGAGGATGTGGAACCTCTCCAGGTTGTCCCTCTGAACGAACTTGCTGGGGTAGAAGCTCCAGATCTCTGCCCTGGGGAGGGAGCAGGCTGGGTGAGGTCAATGCCCCCTCCCTAGTTCCTCCTAGCTGCGCACTCAAGCCCTGCACTCAAGCTGGTGCCTACCCCCTGCTCCTTCCCACCTCCGCCCACCCCTGCTGTCCCTCTTTTATCCAGCTGGCATTATTGAGCCTCTGTTGTGTCCTGAGTCTCTCCTCCCCCACCTTCTTCTTTCCTCCATCATCCTTTCCCCCTTCCCTGGGTCCCTTACTCCGAGAGGAAGGTGAAGCCATGGGTGCCCAGCTGCACGTTCCCATGGGTGTCCACCTTCAGCAGGTTCCCATAGAGCACATCAAACACCAGCCCCCGAGGGAGAGAGCGCAGAGGCTGTGGATGGGGGTTCCAGAGCTGACTACCGGCCACAGCCTCCCACCCCAGCAAGCTCCCGCACCTGGTGGGGAAGGCGGGGTCATGGGTGTAGCACAGGATATCACGCGGGTACCCAATGCACACCAGACGCTCCAGTAGTAACTCAAAGACCAGTGCCTCATAGGCTGGGGACTTGTAGGCTGTGGGAACCAAGCAGAACCAGGCCAGCTGGTGCCTACCCCCTGCTCCCTGAGCCCCAAATACCCTGCTCCCTCCCTCCCTACCAGCCAGGGTGTAGTCCATGTCAAAGCCAAAGCAGCGAATCTTCCCCAGCACCAACCTGCAATTGACAAAAATCCTGGGGAGGGGAAGAAGAATGTCGGAATCAGCCCCTCAGCTCCCCAAGCTCTGTTGGGTCTGAGTGGGTCTGAGCGCGTCTGAGCACACGCGTGCGAGCATGTGTAAGTGTGGACAGGGAGCTTCCGAAGAGGAGCAGCTCACCATGCGGGAGTGTGCTGTGGGCATCCCTGTGGGTGTGCAATTATCGTCTGGGGTGTCACTTTTTTGAGTGGGGTCACTATGTCCAAGTTCAGAGATGTGTTTGCCACAAATGGGCAGCCCTGGTCACCATACAGGAGGGAAGTGGAGGGCACGCCCTCCTGCCTGAGTGTATATTGTTGCTGTTTCCAGGTAACAGGTCGCTGCCCACTTAGAGAGAAGGGGTTCCCATGCAAGCACAGGTGCTTGTCAGCGTTTTGAGTGTCACCATATCTGTGTATTTAAAGGAGTCACCCGTGCTGTGTAATGAGGAGTATGTCAGGAAATGGGGTGTTTACGGGCTGAGATGTCCCCGAACCCCACCCCAAGTGCCCATCTAGACACCGCTGGTGCCAGTCCTACTTCAGGACTTGAGAGGAGACCAGGCGCTGTGGCTCCCCTTGGGGCTCCCTTTGCTCTCCCCCATCCACGCTGGCCATCACCATGAAGAGTGAGCAGGAGGCAATGGTTCCTTCCCCAGCCACCTGCTCACTATCAGTGGGAGCCAGCAGCTTCCTTATCCCTCAAACACTTCGGACACCACTGACCCAGCTGGCCCCACCCTGGGCCCCCATCTCCTCTTTTGGGGGAGGAGTAATCCATGTTAGCCTCTGGTATCCCCTCCTTTCTTCAAAAAGGAAAGCAGTTATGATCAAGGAAGAACAACCCATCGATATTATACCACCTCCATTTCTAGGGCTTATGCCTCCAAGGACTTCAACCACCTAGAGCCCTTCAACCCAGGATGAAGCAAACATAGGGGTTACAAAGGCAGGAGACTCATGTACTTCAAAAAATAAACAAGTCTTGGGGCACCTGGGGGGGCTCAGTCGGTTAATCTCTGACTCTCGGTTTGGGCTCCAGACGTGATCTTACGGTCTGCAAACTCAAGCCCGACTCAAGCTCTTCATTGACAGTGTGGAGCCTGCTTGGGATTCTCTCTCTCTCCCCCTCTCTCTCTGCCACTTCCCTATTCATTCTCTCTCTCTCTCTCTTTCAAAATAAATGAATAAACTTTTAAAATAATAATAAAAGAGACTTTAATAAATACATAAAGAACTCAGGACTCTTGCTCTATGCACAACTCTCACACACTTGGCAATCAATTTCCCAGCCAATGCCACTTGAAGGAATAATTGCTTAAAAGCATGCCACGAGCTATAGGAAGTGGCAGATGACAAGAATCTCAGAAAAAATTACAAAAGTGAGAGCAGAGCAGTTGAGACCATCTAGTGTGGAGCTGTAAACAGCTCTGAGGGCCCACAATGGTGATTTAGGCCTCCATTTAGAACTTTTGTCTGGATTATCTAAAAAGACATATGATGTAGCATGTCCTCTTTTAAAAAAGAAGACAAGGGGTGCCTGGGTGGCTCAGTCGGTTAGGCATCCGACTTTGACTCAGGTCATGATCTCACAGTTCATGGGTTTGAGCCCCACATCGGGCTCTGTGCTAATAGCTCAGAGCCTGGAGCCTGCTTCAGATTCTGTGTCTCCCTCTCTCTCTGCCCCTTCCCTGCTTGTACTCTCTCTCTCTCTCAAACATAAATAAACATTTAAAAATTTTAAAAATATATAAAAATAAAAAGGAAGACAAGGGACACCTGGGTGGCTTAGTCAGTTAAACATCTGTCTGACTCTTGATTTCAGCTCAGGCCATGATCTCATGGTTTGTGAGATCAAGCCTTGAGTTGGACTCCAGACTGAGCATGGAGCCCGCTTGGGATTCTCTCTCTCTCCCCTCTCTTTCTGCCCCTCTTTCGCTCACTCTCTCTCTCTCTCTCTCTCTCTCTCAAAATAAATAAAACTTTTAAAAATAAAAATAAATAAAAAGGAAGGAAAGTTTATGATGCACTTCAAATTCTCTCTAAAATGACTACACTTGGGGGGCCTGGGTGGTTCAATCGATTAAGCATCTGACTATTGATTTCAGCTTAGGTCATGATCTCACCATTCATGAGTTTAAGCCTGCTTGGGATTCATTCTCTCTCTCTCTCTCTCTCTCTCTCCCCCTCTACCCCCCTCATGTACTCTCTCTCTCAAAATAAATAAATAAATTTTTAAAAATAAATAAATAAAATGAGTAAACTAAATGAAATAAGACACTCTTAAAGGGATAAAAATGATCTGGAAAAACATATTTCAAAGGAGTAGTTCTTTCCTTTACAATGCCAGATGAACAACTATTAGAATGATAAAGCAAAAATATGGAGGTACAGGAGTTACACTCCTCCACTGAATGGATGGATGGGGTGGATGGATGGAGGGATGGATGGATGGAGGGAGGGAGGGAGGGAGCGAGGGAGGGAGGGAGGGATGGATGGATGGATGGATGGATGGATGGACAATTAGATGAGCAGACAGATGGACAGAAAGTGGGCCATAAATGGCAGGCTTTATTGAGAGTGTCAGAGGAAAATCAAGCTTTAGAAATCAGGAGGACTTCCAGAGTCCCCTTCACTCATAACCTTGTGCTTTCTGCTCATCTTAGGGGAACCTTTTAAAAAGTGCCCTTTCCAGGGGCACCTGGGTGGCGCAGTCGGTTAAGCGTCCGACTTCAGCCAGGTCACGATCTCGCGGTCCGTGAGTTCGAGCCCCGCGTCAGGCTCTGGGCTGATGGCTCGGAGCCTGGAGCCTGTTTCCGATTCTGTGTCTCCCTCTCTCTCTGCCCCTCCCCCGTTCATGCTCTGTCTCTGTCTGTCCCAAAAATAAATAAAAATGTTGAAAAAAAAATTTTTTTTTTAAAATAAAAAGTGCCCTTTCCCATATTGCATGGTTCCTATCTAGTCAGAAACAAAGGGAGGGCTACCCGGTTATAGGAAATCACTGGGAAGTTCCTGGCCCTCCCACTGGGAGTTAAGTTAACATGGCAAAACTCTTTTTTTTCCTATAGCTGAACTTAGGGTTCCATCCCAAGCTTCCCTTTTACCTGAGGACAGGAAGGTCATCCAGTGATGTTTAGGTACACTCTGTCACCTCAGCACTTTCTTGGGCCACTTCTCCAAGTGCACTCTCAGCCATCTCCTAGGGCTGACTGAACATTGTGGGGTTTACGCCTGGCCGTGCTGCTAGTTGGTAGCTGGTGCTGTCCATCACTTCTCCGTGGGGCCTGGTGGCACCTGCAGTGGAACAGGTGGGGGCCTGCACCTCCTTGTGTTGCTCTCTGCTGAGGTGGTGAGTCTCTGCTCCCATCCCAGGACATGCAGAGCCCCTCGGCTAACTGTAGGTCCAGCTGGGGAGGGACGTTGGGGCTGTCACAGAGCCCTCTTGGCCATGATCCCTGTGCCACTGTCACACTTGTGACATCTGCCGCATTTCAGAGCCCCTTCAGGAAGAGATTTGTCAGAATAACCGTAAAGAATCCCTGTGAGCCAGGCCTCATAATGACCCCATAAAACGGGCCTACTGCTATTCTGAATTTACAAGTGACCAAACCAAGGCACCAAGGAGTTTAGCATCTTCCCCAGGGTCACAAAACTAACAAGCAGCAGAGCAGGGACTGAACCCAGAGGCCAGGCACCAACATCTGTGCTCTGGTCCCCACAAATGTTCTTCCAACAGTGTGCTAGTCAGTGCTTCTCAAGCTGTGACGTGCATGGGAACCATCTGGGGTCTGGTTAAATGCAGCTTCTGATTCAGCAGGTCTGGGGTGGTACCCGAGATTTTGCATTTCCGACAAGTGCTCAGATCATCACCAGCATGATGCTGGCCTGCACCACATTTGAGTGGCAAGAGTGGAGTATTAGCCTGCATGTGCAAATCCCCTGGGGAGCTATAAACTTTCTGATGAGTGAGAATCAGCCAGGCAAATGCAGGTAGAGGGGCATTCGAGTCCAGGGTCACCATGGCTAGTGCTGAGTGACAGTGTGGCAGGTGGACCCCCTCCCTCTCTGAGATTTACATATAACTGGTCCAGAGATGGACGTAAGCACTGGGCATACTTTACCCCCTGGGTGAGTCTAATGTACAACAAAGTTTCAGGATCTTGCTTTAAAAAGACATTTAACAGGGGCACCTGGGTGGCTCAGTTGGCTAAGTGTCTGACTTCAGCTCAGGTCATGATCTCACACTCTGTGAGTTCGAGCCCTGCATCGAGCTCTGTGCTTACAGCTCGGAGCCTGGAGCCTGTTTCAGATTCTGTGTCTCCCTCTCTCTCTGCCCCTCCCCTGCTCATGCTCTGTCTCTCTCTGTCTCAAAAAGAAATAAAAACATTAAAAAAATGTTTAAAAAAAAAGACATTTAACAAATCAAGCCAACACTAAATATAGTGGGTACACATAGAGGCTGAAGCCACATTATCCTTGGGCCTTGGGAATCTTGTTCTTCATGGAAACACCCAGTATTTATTGAAAACTCTGTCTTTACACATGAAACGATGCTCAACATCACTCATCATCAGGGAAATCCAAATCAAAGCCACACTGGGATACCAACTCACACCGGTCAGAGTGGCTAAAATGACAGATCCCGGAAACTATAGATGCTGGCAAGGATGTGGAGAAATGGGAACCCTCTTGCACTGCTGGTGAGAATGCAAACTGGTGCAGCCGCTCTGGAAAACAGTGTGGAGGTTCCTCAAAAAATTAAAAATAGAACTACCCTATGACCCAGCAATAGCGCTGCTAGGAATTTACCCAAGGGATACAGGAGTGCTGATGCATAGGGACACTTGTACCCCTATGTTTATAGCAGCACTTTCAACAATAGCCAAATTATGGAAAGAGCCTAAATGTCCATCAACTGATGAGTGGATAAAGAAGATGTGGTTTATATATACAATGGAATACTACTTGGCAATGAGAAAGAATGAAATCCTGCCATTTGCAGCAACGTGGATGGAACTGGAGGGTATTATGCTGAGTGAAATAAGTCATTCAGAGGAAGACAGATATCGTATGTTTTCACTCATCTGTGGATCCTGAGAAACTTAATAGAAGACCATGGGGGAAGGGAAGGGGGAAAAAGTAGTTACAAACAGAGACGGAGGGAGGCAAACCATAAGAGACTCTTAAATACAGAGAACGAACAGAGTTTGAGGGGGTGGGGGAGAGGGGAAAGTGGGTGCTGGGCATTGAAGAAGGCAATGTTGGGATGGGCACTGGGTGTTGTATGGAAGCCAGTTTGACAATAAATTATATTTTAAAAATAAAAATAAAAGCCTGACATTAAAAAAAGAAGAAGAAAGAAAAAAAACTGTGTCTTTAGTTTCTTTTCTCATTTGATTCTCACCTCAGCGTTGTGCTGTGGATATTATTATGATTACCATCCTCTTCCCTTTCTAGAGATGGAAACTGGCCACACCAGGTTAGGGACGTGCTCTAGAAACCTGTCATTCCCTGAGCCTTCACTTTTCCCTTCACTGATCCTCCTCTTAAAGCCCTGCTGCCACCACAGACAATACTACCACCATCTTTCTGGAAGGTTCCAGGGGAAACATCCCCTTCCTGCCACTTTCCCTGCACTCTGCCCTTGAGCCTCAGTCACCACCCCATCCCAGTTGGTGGGGACAATGGAGGGAGACAGTCACCTCCCTCCTGGGGTCATTGGTCCCTCTTCCACTTGGCCTAGTGGCGCGCAGGGGTGAGAATAGAAATCCCTACAGTTGCACTGGGCCAGGAGCAGCTCCAGGTAGAAAGCAGTGGAGGGCAGGAAGGGAGGGGTCAGCAGCCAGATGTTTTTGTTGGGCTCGTAAATCCTCTGCAAGCCTGGCCGCTATCTCCTGTTGCATCATGTAGGACATGTATACAGCATGGGACCTGGGCCTGTCCCATGGTCCCATGGGACATTCCTAGAATGACAACCCCCTCTCCACACAGTGTTTGCAGTAAGCAATCACTGCCCCGAGGGACACCGGGCTTCATGCAGATCCAGTCACGAAAATGTCCATTTCCTTTGAATCCTCCAGTTCTGAGAAGCCATCCTTTACAAAGTCATATAGAAAGGAGAAAAGCCTAAATGTGAAAAGATGACTCATGAAGAGGCATAGGCCACTTCAGTGTGCAGCTCAAGAGCAAATCTGTTATTTTTAAATTGTTGAACAAACTTTACTAACTGTGGTTAAGAAGATGAACTCAAAAACTGCTGAAGACATAGCGCCATCCGAGGAGAGAAAAAACAGAACACAAAACTGCATTTGCACTGGTGTGCCCACCATTTACACAATGCACGCACAAAAGCACTGGAGAAAATAACCCAAAACAAACAACGGCTTAATGTGCATATGAATCATCCAGGGCCTGGTTAAAATGTAGGATTATATTTATTTTTCTTAATGTTTATTTATTATTTTTGAGAGAGAGAGAAAGAGAGACAGAGCGTGAGCAGGGAGGGGCAGAGAGAGGGGGAGACACAGAATCCAAAGCAGGCTCCAGGCTCCGAGCTGTCAGCACAGAGCCCGACGCGGGGCTCAAACTCACAAACCACGAGATCATGACCCGAGCCGAAGTTGGATGCTCAACCGACTGAGCCACGCAGACACCCCAAAATGCAGGATTATATTTAATTTCTTGTCTTTAGTATCTAAATTTTCTGATATGCGACTCAATAATACAAAATAAACTGCATAAAATGACATGGAAACTCAAGAAATACTTAACGCCAAATGAAACCAGAATATAAAGGTTATGTAATTACTATTTAATACTTTAAGTAATTTTTGTTTTTGTTTTTGCATTCCACGAGCACCTGTCCTGAGCCAGGCACTGAGCACTGAGGGATAAGCAACCCAACAGTACTGCCCACCGTATAAGCCAATATCTAGCACCCATATCCTGAGCACAACATGATGCTGCCCATGAGGTCCAGAGGCAGCCAGCCAGAGGGACAGGGGAACACCTCTGTTAGCGGGGAGGGCAGTTCCAAGAGAAGGTGACCCCCACCTCTTGAAAAGAACAAGAGCTCCCCAGGCAGACCATGTGAAGAATTCCCAGCAGAGCAACTACAGGAATGAAAGGAAGAAGGGGTGCAATGAGCCCACAACTGTTTCTGGGGGACCCAAAGACGTAGGACAGGGGAACAAGGCCAGATCAGGAAAGGTCCTATGTCCTACTAACGAACTTGACCTTGACCCTGTAGGTGGTGGGAAACCCTGGCAGCATTTTGAGCAGAATGAGGATATGATCCCCCATAGTTTAAAGCTGCCTCTGGTGGCAGTGCCAGCTAGGACAAGGGACAGCTACTGGCAAGTTACTGCAGTAGCCCAGGCAGGAGCTGTGGCATGCCTGAATTAATTGAGAGGGGAAGGCTGGCCAGAGAGTCACTGGGTTAGTCAGGGCCTGGGGACCGATTAACTGCGGGTGATCCTAAGGAAGGAAGAAGCTAGGATACTCAAGAGGCATCACAGTAGGGGCCACCAACCCAGAGACGGCAGCAGGAAATGAAGGGGCTTGTTGGGAGAGCATGAGGCAGGGAGAGAGCTCTGGGTCTACAAACCCTCACCTGAAGCCCATGGGGCCAGATACATTTCAGAATTCAGTATTTCCTGAGTTTAAGAAGGTAACACATGATTTACCGTATATATGCATGATTACACCCTTGATGGGTCTGAGACAACAGCCTGCAATCAAACGCATTGACATTCCTGCAGCCAAGATATAAATATTCATTCACATGAAGTGGGCATAAAAAGACAACAAACAAGCTCATGGCAGGGCCCAATCAAGGCTTACCACCGAATGAGTTTGGGAAACCCTTTCATGTTGGGGTCTAGGGATTGAAGAGGAAGGATGCTGCATCCGTATCTGTGGTCGCTAATGATCCAGGAGGGCCCTTCAGGAGAGACAAGAGCTGAGGACGGAGCCCCAGAAACAACCACACTGAGATGGAGACGAGAGAGGAGACAGCAAAGGAGGCTGAGAGGGAGCAGCCAGGTTTGTAGGACAGAAGTAGGAAGGGCTGTCCCAGAAACCACAAGAGGAAAGAGGGAGCCGGGAGCAGGGACAGTGACACAGAAAGGCCAAGTCAGAGAAGCCCCAAATGTCCCCCTACATAAGGCAAAGGTAGGTCATAGGAGACCTGGACCAGTGAGCCATGAGTGGCAAGATGACAGCAGCTAAGCGGGAGCAGAGGGCAGGGAAGCAGGAGCAGCGCGGGAGAGGCTCCCCTTTGCAGGAGTCTTTGCCACAGAAGAAATGAGCTTGGGTGCAGTGGCCAAACTGCCAAAGCCAGAAAACATGGCGGGGGTGCCAGACCGGGGTGTCAGTGAGCAAAAAGAGGGCAAACGAAGGAAAGCGGGTTATGGAGACGATGTGTGTCCACCAACAGACGTGGATGAGAATGTTCATGGCATCTTTATCCATAATAATCCCAATCTGGAAACAACCCAAATGCCCGTCAGCACCAGAACAGACACGTCCACCTGTTGGAACTAGCAGTGAAGAATAAACTGTGCCATCCACACTAGCAGGGCTGAATCTTACAGACACACGAAGCAGAAGAATTCATGTACTTTACTCTATGTACGCTGTACCTCAATTAAAAAAATTAGGGTTGATGGAATTTAAGGTTTCAGGGGTGGAGCAGTCTGGGAGATGAGAAGGCCAAGTGTTGTCTTGCAGGCTGGAGCCAAAGTAGGTCCAAGGGAGCCTGACAGAGTTTGGGAGGGGAGGGAGCTCTGTGCTCCGAGGACACAGAAATCACTCGCTAGTTTACACAGATGATTGTAAAACAGGTCGGAGAACTATTCTTGCAAGCGGATTGGGCAGCAGTGGTTAACTCACGGGCTCCGCTCCACTGAGGCTGCCCGGCGTCCCTACCCGGACTGTGCGCAGGCCTGACTCCCCATCTCCGCCGCAGCGTTCGCTGGGCAGTACTGTGGATACCGCAGCCACCACCACTTGCTCACCGCCCCCCACCCGCACACCCTTACAAGGGCGAAACCTGGACACAGATGTGTTCAGGACACCATATGAGGGGAGCGGCCCTTGCCGACCCCGTTTACAGTCAGGCTGGTTGCAGGCTCCTTTTACCCTTGGCTTGAGCTCCCAAGGAGCTTTCTGAGAATTCTCCCTCCTCCATCCACCCGCCAGCCAGCCGCTCCAGGGCCTGCATGCGGATGACACAGGACTCACCGAGAAGGCCTCAGGGAGCCACGAACCATAGGTGCCCAGCATAGCAGCCATTATCATTCCAAATAACTATCAACCAAAAATGCTTCCAGTGTTTCCTTCCTGAGTCTTACTTTTCTCTTCCACAAAATCGCAAGGTCTATGTTACTTTTTGGAGGGACACGTTGGAGAGACATGAGGGTGGTCGCTCCGTCAGGGCAGGGTGACAGTTCACAAATTTGTCACATCCAGACTAAGCAAGGCACAGCAGCGCCCCACGAGGCCCAGGGCAGCAGCCCAGGTGTGTCTCTGGGGTTCTGGGCAGCACAAGCTAAGCTCTGTGCAAAGATTCTAGGTCGGCAGGAGACCGACCTAATTAAACACACGGGCTTATTCTTAGACAAGGAGCCCCAGTTAAGGCCCCAGGGCAGCCACGGCGCACAGGCACAGCCCTAGAGGTGACCGGAATAATTATTTTTTTTAAAGAGCTGTTACTTACTTCTGACATTAAAAGTCATACATATTCATCATAGGATATGTGGAAAATACAGAAAGTGCAGAAAAGAAAACGCCATCCAGAGATAACCACTATTTTCGCTCATTTCCTCACAGTCTTGTCCTATACACATTTACATGCTTGACACTTGGCGGAAATGCTTACTCACGTAATGTAAGTGAAAAAATATGCCAAATTATCAAGAGCATGATCTCATATTTGTTACATAAATCAGGAATGTCACATGGATATAGTCTGTATCCTGTTGATTTCACTCTGTATCAAAATGCAGACATCTCCCCCATTCATTCAACATTCAGCTACTTGAGTTTTATGGCTGCAGAGTATCCATCATATAGAATAAAGTATAAACTACCACCCTGTGATGGGGCACTTAGGTGGTTTCCAACTTTTCAAATAACTCTATTATGAACCTCCCTGCACATCTCCGATTATTTTCTTGACCTAGATTTCCAGAAGACAAAGTATTTTAGGACTCTCATTATACCTTGCCAAACGGCTTTCTCAACATTTGAAGGAACCGGTACGGCCACTAGCACAGTGGGGGATATCGTACTGCTCGTGGCATATCTTGACTCCTGTAGTAACAACCAGAACTTCTTTATCACTTGGTGGGAAATCCAGATCAAACACAGAGGCCACTGTTAGCAGGTAACGAGCTCCTCAGAACCATCTTGGACTCTGACTAAGCACAGCCCTGCACTGTTTCCCCGCATAAGTCGGTTTTCACAAGGTGAGGCTGCTGTAACAAACAATCCTAGAGTTTTAGGGGCTTACAACAAGGAAGGCTTATTTCCCACCCACATGACTCATAAGATGTGGTTCGACTGCAGCTTTTTTCCAAATGACTTCTTGTTCTGGGACCCAGGCTGACCGAACAACCCCCGTCTCCATTCTCATGTTCAAACGCAAAGAGACTGAGCAGAAGTCCACCCTGGCTCTGATGGCCTTGACTTGGACATGGCAGGCATCAACCCCACTCACTTCCATTGGCCCAGGGAGGTAATGTGATCGAGCCTGATGCCAATGAAGTGAAGTGTCTACTCTTCCCACGGGGACGCAATGAAGGTGCGTTGGGGAGTACAGAATCCCCTACAGAGTGGACAGAAAATACCTGGGAACAAAATTACAATTGACCACAGCCATGAGCCCTCAGAAACAATGCTTAGTATGCGTCATAACCTCCTGGTACTGAAGCTGACATCAAGAACGTTTGGCAATCAGAATCCTTCGTCATACTGGAAATGCCCATACCCCAAAAGTTTCCCTGGTGGCTGATGGAGGGGGTCACCTAGGTTTGCCTTCTGTGCAAATACAAGAAAAAATACATATGTTTGTGTGTATTTGGGTCTATATATTTATAGGTAGCTCCATTGGAAATAGTAAAGATACATTGTTAAATTTTTAAAAGGCAAAAGTGGGGTGCCTGAGCGGGTCAGCCTGTTAAGTGAATGACTCTTGATTTTGGCTCAGGTCATGATCTTGCAGTTCGGGAGATTGAGCCCTATGTCTGGCTCTGTGCTACAGCCTGCTTGGGATTCTCTCTCTCCCCTGCTCTCTCTCTGCCCCTACCCCACGCTCTCTCTCTGTCTCAAAAATAAATAAATAAACATTGAAAAAAATATAAAAAAATAAAAGGTAAACAGAAGCCTTATGTAAAGAGGCCTACCATTTATTTTTAAAAGAGACAGAATACATAATACATATAATTTATGCTTATATATGCATTAGATATCTTTAAAACATTAATAAGAAGCTGGTAACAGTGGTTATTTTAGGAAAGCGAACCAAGGGACTGATGGCGGAGGGGAGAGACTTGCTTTTCACTCTATATTCGTTTCTTTACCATTTGAATTGTTTTCCTTGCATCTGTATTGCCTTTAATTGCCCTTTTCCAATCCTTTCTCCTTCGCCCAGCACAGTGTCATTCCTCTTCCTCCAATTGCTCCCACGTTAGGATGCCCTGACTCCCACACCTAGGGCCTCAGAAAGCAGAATTTCCAGAAAGCACTGGAAACCCCAAGAAAAACAAATAGCAACAGTTACAAAGCAAAAAAAAAAAAAAAAAAAAAAAAAAAAAGTTCAAGCTCCAACAGGCCAGGCCACCTCACATGGTTGTACAGATCACGCTCGTGACTGCCAACCAGAGAAACCCCTTCCAGGAAGGTGAGATCAAAAGATAGAGCTGAACTGCTCTTGCATGAGTCAGGAGTCTTGCTCCCGAGAGACTCGGAGAGCAAAGGAGACAGAGGGAAAGCAGAAACATTTGCAGAGGAAGCCAGTAGTGCCCCCAAGATAGGGCAGTTTAAAGGCCGAGACTGCAGAGCCTGGGTAAGCATGATCAGGTTCAAGATCCGACTTCAGCTTGGAGTCCGCGATCTCGCCGGTCCCGTGAAGTTGAGCCCGCGTCAGGCTCTGGGCTGCTGGCTGAACCTGGAGCCTGTTATTCTGTGGCTCCCTCTCTCTGCCCCGTTCATGCTCTGTCTCTGTCCAAATAAATAAGCGTTGGAAAAAAAAAAAAAAATTTAAGGCGGGGCTGCCTAATGTGTCCCTGGCTGCCAAGACCCCTCCTCTGTCTTCCTCACATCCCCGCATGTGCTCCAAATCAGAAAAGCCTCTGGACCCGACATGCTTGGTGTGAGCAGACCCCTTTGTAGAAATATAAAGGCTAAAAATAAAAAAAATAAAATAAGGGCTGACATTTACCATCTGGATCGTGGAGGGCAGGGACAGAACCCATGAGGCGGGAGGCTGAAGTCAGAAATAACAGGAGAACATGTCCCCAGGGAAATGGTAAGGAGTCTGGAAGTGCTTTGGATTTCCTAGAGGAGCAAGTGGAGTTAAATCAAGCTGCCATCTAGACAAGCCTGGAGCCCACAGCAGTCGCTGGGTTTCACAAGCAAAGGTGCTTGGAATATCCTGCATTAGTGGCTGTGGTGAGGGTGCTCTACACACCATCAGGAATCATGACTGGGATTATCAGGGGAGGCTCACATTCTCAGAGCCTTTTCACACCAGAATTTAAAGGCCAGCAGTGCTGTATTCACAGCACATTTGCATAGGACACCGTGTCGCTGATCTGGGACGCGGCGATTACCTGCCCGCGAGCTCTTGGGTGGGGGGGGCCTGAGTGGCCTGGCTGCGCTCCCTGGGCCCCTGGTGTGTCCCACAAAACCAGAGACCAACCGCATGTTATTAGGGCTCCATGAAGCAAAGGTGATATAACTGAATAAATTTGGGAACCCCTGGAATAAACAGGATTTGTAATTGCAGGACCTGGAGCGAAGTTTGCTAATGAGAGAAGTCAGACAGAGAAAGAAAAATACCATATAATTTCACTTATATGTGGAATCTAAAAAATATATATATTATAGGGCACCTGAGTGGCTCAGTTTGTTAAGCGTCCGACTCTTTGATTTCAGCTCAGGTCATGATCTCATGGGTTTGTGAGATCAAGCCCCACATCAGGCTCTGCACTGACAGCGTGGAGCCTGCTTGGGATTCTCTCTCCTTCTCTCTCTGCTCCTCCCCTGCTTGTACACTCTCTCTCTCTCTCTCTCTCTCTCTCTCTCTCTCAAAACAAGTAAACATTAAGTACACACACACACACACACACACACACACACACACACACACACACACACACACACACACACACACACATATTAAGAAAAGAAACTAAGCTCAGATACAGAGAACAAATTGGTGGTTGCCAGAGGTGGGGGGTAGGGATGGGAGAAACGGGCAAACTGTTTTTGTGGTTTTAATTTAAATAAATTAAATTTCTTAAAAAGTAGGCAAAAACTGCAGAAGGATATACTGTAAAAATTAAAAGTTCTCTCCCCATTCTCACTGGCCAGGGGTAAGCGCTGTTAAGTTCCATCTATCCTTCCAGACATTTTCCTATGTACAACTACACAGACACATGTATGCATATTATATTCACAAAATTATGGTATGTGTATCACTATTCAGTAACTTAAATCATTTGTTAACTTGGACATTCTTCTACATAAATACATAGAAATCCACCTCATTCTGCTTAGGCCCATGATTTTTAAAACCACATTAGAAATGCTTGTCATTTGTGGCTCAGTTGGTTAAGCTGACTGTGAAAAGTTTTGATTTTGACTCAGATCATGATCCCAGGGTCATGAGATCAAGTCCCGCAACGAGCTCTGTACTGAGCATGGAGCCTGCTTAAGATTTTCTCTCTCCCTCGCTCTCCGTCTCTCCCCCTTGTCTGCACGCGCGGTCTCTCTCTCAAAAAAAAAAAAAAAACAAAAACAAAAAGAAATACTTATCATTTGTTATAAAATTAATATATGCATACGGTACTAAAGAAATTTTTAAAATAAAACTGCAGATACCAGTTGTCACCTATCAGGTCGGCAAAAATCCAACACGTTGACAACCCAACCCATTGGCGAGGCTGTGGGGAAAGAGGAACTTACATACATTCTTTGTGATAGGACGAAGCGGTATAGCCGTTTGGGAAGGCCATTTGGCAGCGCCTGTCAAAATTAAGAGAAACCCTCTGACCCAGCAGCTCCACTGT